AAAACACTTTGTTAGATGACGGCTGGTAATGTCGTATTTTCATCGACATTGTTTGCTTGGACCGTTGCGTCGCAAGACTTCTTGGCCGGTATGAGAAATTAGTGAGTGCAGCTGGGAACGCGTTTTTTCGAATGCAGTGGGGCGATTGACCCTGGGCATGGCCCAAAGGCCAACATACCTGTGCAAGGGTCAGACAAGTCCCTACTGCGACCGCCATACGTCGTGCCGTCGCATTTAACAAACCACCAACGAAGCACAAGCCGCAGAGAGACCCCACCTCGGCTGGAGTGTTGCATTCCCCCCCTTTCCATGCTTTTTAAAGCCATGCGCTCCGACTGAACGAATTACGTGGGCTCCTTCCTCCCTGCCTCCTCCCTCTTCTTCTTTCACGTGTGTTATTCGCCACTAAATAGATCAACTGACTGTGTGTGTGCTTTGTTGCCCTTCTTGCCCTCATGAAGGCAGTTGCTGTGCGCTGCTTCACCATCGTGCGTAAGATTGTGCGCCACCTTCTGCGCCACACCCAAACGTGCATGCATGAGGTGATGCGAGCGTGTTGATGCTCTGAGCGACAAGGTGAACAGACTGGTGCCTTCCTGGGCAATGCAAGGAAGCCGCACGCTTGAACCACGTCTGTCGGCAATGCCGATGCGACAAAGCAAGTGCGTATCCCATTAGAGTTGTTGTCGTTAAAAGTAGAAAGGAAAGGTGCTTCATTCATAGTCACTACCGTAAGCACAGACACACCTTTCTTGAGAAGGATATGCAACGTCTCCGAACCTGGCATTGGGTGGAGGAGGGCCTTGGGTAGGATTGAATTCACGGATTCCCACGGGAAGGGAAAGGCGTCGCACTTTGACTTGGCGCTCAGCCAGCACGAAGATGAATACACAAATCACCGCCCATCACACAGGATAAACTTCGCCTTCTCGATAAAAGGGGAAACGATTGTAGGGAGGTTGGAGTTGAGGGCAAATGAGACCTGACTACAGCTTGTGGTGGGCAAATGTGGCGGTGGCATTATTTACGAGAGTTGGGCGTGAAGTTTCCTTCAACCTTTCACCCCACCCCACCCTCCCCCACATGCACCAGCGGTAGACGCAGAGGCCGCCAAACAGACAAGAGAAAAGTAGCCATATAAAAGTGGCATTTGACATTTAAAAACGCCTAAAATAGGCTGGAAGAAGTGAAAACAATATCAAAATTGATATGCAAAGCTACCCTCAAAACCACACACATTCTCCTTTATCACACACACGCACAGTGGAAAAGAGGTGTGGGCAAGGCTTTTTTGTTAAATTTGTACAGGTTGTGCCACACAAAGGAAACAAGTCAATAGAACTCGTGAATCAAAGTTTTGCGATGCTTTTCACAGATATTCATCTTATTCAACAACGCCCCCTGGTCCGTGATCTCGGCACGTGCAATCTTCCAGGACAAATCCTCCACCTCCGCCTCCAGCAGGGCCTGTTGGTACTCAAACAAAGCCAAACGTTGTGCAGCCCCGGCTGGTGGGCAGTAGGCATAGGGATAGGTGTACTTGAGAGTGTACCGACACTTGCGCAGCGTCTCTGCTGCCGTTAGGAGGTACTGCCAGTCAATCCACGTGCCTTCACCATTTTGCACCTTTGATTGGATACGTGCCTGAATGCTTGCGTAGTGCTTCTCCTCCAACCGCAGACTTCGTTCGTGATTTTCCCACTTTGGGGCGCAGCCGCAAACAGGCAACCCACATTAAGTACTTTGCACACCAAACCGCTAAGCTTATTCACCTACTTGTGCTAATTAAGTCCATAAGGCAAGCCTCATGTAACGCACAATAAATGCACAACTCTTTTGCCTCACTAATGCACCCCTATGACATCATCATGGCACACTAACAATTGCAAACGGCTGACTTGAAGGGAACAGCCTAAAGTGCATCCACCGAACCAACTGGTGGGTGACAAAAGTGTCAACTGTCAGTGAGGTGATAATAGTAATAATAATGATGGTGATAAGGCAGCGCAAATTAACCCTCTCATAGTAGAAGAGGTAGTGCTGAAGGTACTCCCTAGCCCGTGTCCGACTAGACTCGCGTTCTGAAACCTCGGATTTGCGGTACTTGCTGCAATCGTAGTACTCCACCGGATGATCTCGCCACGCTGCAATGAAATACATGGACTTGAAAAAGAAGAAATTGGTGTGTCTCGGTTATAAACTGTAAACTCCGAGGAGCTCCACTTACGCCCAAGGCAGACCCAACAGAATTGATGCTGACATTTTAGGCATTGCTAAAAGGGGAAAATCGTTGAATAACATGTGAAAGAAGGTCCAACGGGAAAGGTAATTGCCAGTACAAATGTAAGGGAATACACATTGCTGAGATGATAGCCCTGTGATCCAAATTGCGCTGTACTGTCTATGGGACACCATCTCCGCCTCCTCCACCCCGGCAAAACATTTGCACAGGAGTGGTCGGATTGCTGTCACTACTACTGTAGAAGTACTGTGGACCAGCACTTCTCCGCTCTCTGGTGGGACAAGGAGCATGCAATGCCAGGGGGGTTTCAGCCAAAGAACGCGGATGCGATAGTGAACCCACTGAAGCGGCAAAGCCCTCCCATCCCCTCCCCTCCCCCTTCGTAGACTGCTCCTTTGGGGAAGACAGTGCAAATGATAGCATTAATAACGCTGCAACAACAGTCCTCGGCAGTGTCTGCGACCTCTTTATTGAGATACTGCAGCCGAGGCTAATAAGTTGGATGGCCAAACCATTTGCACTTTGTTCGACTCACCGACTGCAAACCACCAGTTCGAATGGGTTTAAGATAGAAGGATAGAAGTTTATGAATAATGCAGGTTATGCATAACGAACCATGTGGTTGCAGCCACCGTTCTTCTCAATTACCACGCCGCAATTTGGGCAGTCCTTAGTGTGTGCAGCCATGTAGTTAGCCGTTCCGGAGTCGTCACGGCACTTCTGCAGCCACTGCTTGATGGTCTCGCAGTGAGCAGGCGCATGATACTCCACGCTGCAGGCGAAACAGAACTGCGTACCGCAGCCCTCACAGGTTACGCGCAGGGCTCGTGGAGCTTCTAAGGCGTAGAGCACACGTGTGCAATGAGTGCCGGTACAGGGTCGTAGACGGGGATGAGCCTGACACCAAAAGTGGATGAAATAACGCCCGTATGAATATTCACTCAACCGGTGGCACGCAAAAATAAAAAAAGGACAATAAATGAGGCTGTATTATGAAGAAGGTGATTTGGGAAGACTTCAAAAAAAGAAAAAAATACACACACACAACGAAATGTACGCAAATGACACAGTGTAAGTTGTGAACAAAAGTATAAACACAAAAACACATACACGATGAGTAGAGTTACAAAAAAAGAGACAAATACATTAAAGTACCTCGATTACTTCATTGAGAATGTGCCTACGGTGCTTCTGCACAGACTCAGGATTGTTAAGTACTGCAAAAATAAAGTCATCGGGAATTCGAATGCTGCACTTAGCCGCCATACATTCGACAACTGAGACATGAGAGTTCGAGATTCGCACATTGAAGAATGCTCGCCAACACTCGAGGCAGAACATATGGCCACAGCTCATACCAAACAAACGAGCCGTAGCTAGAGTCGGATACTGCTTCGTGTTTACACCATCCAAAACAGTTGGAGGCGAAAAGCAGATGGAACACAAATCCGATTTGTAATTTCTAACTAAACGAACCAATCGGACGTTAAAAAACTTAGGAAACACAGTTGCCTTTCAACTTGAATTGGGTTTTTCGGCACGATTTAGCATGCTGGGAGATAGTTCCAAATAAGTCCGATATCTCGCAGCTATCGGATGTATAACATGGTCCAGAAGCAGGAATAAGATTGGATGAAATAAGAAGAGACAAAGGATCGTTATTGAATATTTCTTCAACTTGGGAGATATTCCATTTAAAGTGGCGTAAAAACAAACTACCTAACCACCAAGGAATCTGTGATGGGTTACATGCGAAGAAAAATACCTTGAGATTCTCGCAAAGGGAATTTACATCATCGGAGACTATTTGTTCCACTTCTTCACTATCTAGAGTGCGGCATTTCAGATCCTCCACAAAATCATCTTCGGATAATCTACGATACGATAGAACTGAAGCCCATAACCAACCCCAATACAGTCTCATCTTTATCACTATCTTCTGACAAACCGTAATAATCATCACAGTCATCTGGATAATCATCATGGCTCGATCCGATATCATCCTCAACATCGACCATTTGGGGAATATTTGAAAATATGACCCAATGAACTAGTGACTATAAACAAGAGCATAGGTTATCGTTGTTTTTTATTTTTTTTGTTTAAGATTTATTCACATTTAACTTTTAAACCATTTGAAGCACAAGTGGAGTTTTCAGTTACTATGATATTCGAGAGCTTCATGCACAATGTCCCTGTTTCAATGATTTTTTTACGGCACAGATGTGTAGCATCCTCTCCAAAGGGCATTAAGGGGAGCTAAATTCATGCAATCCAGGAAAGTCAAAGTGATTAGACCTGATTTTGGCCCATAGTCCAGCCAGACAAAACTTAAAGTTGCTGCCTGAAAAATGGTGGTCACATAAACAAATTATTATAAATTGAATCTTAATTTTATAGGTTTTTACATACCTTATTGGTAGTACTTAAATTTCCGTCGTATCTCTTTCGGAAGAAACACCCCCTTCATAAAGGCATTTTAATATGTACAGTATCACAGCTATAGCCGCATGCGACGGTTAGATCCATTGTACATTCAGTATAGATCATTGATGTGTATGTAAAATACGGTAACTGATGTGGATGTTTCGAACATGGGTTACCTCTGCATTATTCGGTTGTAATGCGTGGCCATTAAAATATTTTGCGTCCATACTTCGAGATAGCCGAGGAGATATGTTTGTAGCGTCCCGAGACTTTCCATAGGGCGGAAGAAAGCAGTAAGTGGGGGTAGATACATGTATACCGAAGAGAACAGCGCAAACGGACCTGAGCATGGCTCGAAGACCAGCCCGCGTGCGCAAGGACCAGACAAATCCTAAAGCGCTAAGAATAAGCATAAGCGTTATTTTGTCTTGGTGAATTGGTCGTATTATCTTGGAAGCATTAACGAGCCTCCAGCCATCCTCTACAGTACTTCTCATACGGGGCGGGTTTTGCTAATTCACTTTCCTTTTTTGCAGTTCTCAAAGCGCCCAATTCGACTCACTACCTAGTTATTTGCCCCACCAGTGCGTCATTTTTGAGAACTGGATCAAAAATGCATATGAGGAATTTTGAGTTAGTAAATGGGTACCTTTAGCGATAATCGCACTTTGATGCTGATAGGAGGGAAACGGACACCAAAAGCCACCGGAAATGTTGAAAAAGTCAATTGTGTGGAGTCTATGGACAAAATGTTTACCCCTTGCCTGCAAATTACTTCCTTTGCCAGATTACTGAGGCAATTCTGGTGGTACTACTACTGATTGCAAATAAAAGTAGCAACCTGGGATCTCCTGAAGGACAAAAGACGCATAATTTGGGTGCAGAGTCTAAGAACTCGGCTTGTAATGAGAGTTGAATTTGTTGGTCAGCGACACAAAGTAGCCCTTTATAATGAGTGAGAAGTACCTTGAACATCATCTCCCCTAATCACTCCCAGCAATTTAATGAACTTCCGATTTTGCCTCGCTTTTAATTAAGCGATTTTGTTGGCCTTGATGTGAGTTTGCACTAGTCATGACAAGATTAAAAGCTCACTAAAGAGATGCTCTGATAGGTCTCCATGGTTTCAGTTTAGCTAGTAGCGAAGCAAGGCAAGCAAACACTTGAAACGATGCCAGTGACACTTTGTTTGGAGTGTGGCAGTTGGCAATTACGCACCGTCTGCCCCCGAAGTTGGAGGAGATGTACCTTAAAATTGAGTCCACTTTGCACCTCCTCCACAGCAAACGATGATTTAGCATTGGTGCAGGCCGCTAATAACCACACTAAAACACAAGGCCGTATACAGGAACCTGTTTTTTTATTATTATTATTATAAGGTAGCACCCACTCTTGCCACTTTGTACCAAACCAGCCAGCAACCTCCATTCCCCTCACTCGACCCTCCACCCAACTGCCTGGGGTGCTGGAGGACAAAACTTTTGTTGGAATCTCACTAGGATTGTAGGAAGTCCTCCCTCTAGTGAAGTGAGAGCAAAAAAAGGCTTATTTAGATCTCCATTTTTGTCAAATTATTCACCTTTCTTCACGCATTGAGATCCATGCCAGTCCCTTGCTATTCATTCACGACATTGGCAGACTTTGGTTAACTAAAAACCCACTTGGTGATGGGCTGTGCTAACGAAAAGTGAGTAGAGGTGGTAAGTGCTCCGTATCATCTAATCTCGCATTTACTAAAGTGTTACCGACGAGAAGTAATGCTAACAGCTCGTCTCATTTTTGCAAAAAGACTTTATTTTGCCTTCCCTGTAAATTTTGGTGGATGAGGTGGTTCAGGATCCTTATTAGCTCCTCCTCACTACTCCTCCCTACTCATGTATGCAGGCCACAATGCGTCTCTTTGAAAGCTTTTGTCGCCATGACGATTGGGGCGTGCCTCGTTTGACCTCCAAAGAGTTGTGCCTCGAGCTCCGTCCTCCAATGTTATGCGGTTTAAACGCATTCCCTAATTTTTACTATAACCGATGTTTTAGTCACTTTACAGCAGTAAAGTTGTCGTTTTAGACAGGATGACAAGGCCAGCAGTTGGATTGAGCGTTTCCACACATCTGGGGATGTGAAAAATGCGCCAATAGATGTCAAACCTTTCAATGCCTCGTCGAGCCAATCACATTGAAGCAACTAAACCTAAAAGAATTAGAGGGAGGGGAGGAGGGGAAAATGCAAGGATTTT